GGGGGGGGGGGGGGGGGGGGGGGGGGGGGGGGGGTTCTGTCACAGCAGTGTTATTTAGCTGAGGGATTTTTTGTCCTGTCTCCGTGTGGTCTCGTCATTTCCTGTTTTATTTTGATAAGTAACCCTCATCTCGTTTCAGGTCACTTGCACTTCCCTGTGTGTCATCGGTCCAATTGTCTTCCTGATCACCTATTGTGTTCACCTGGGGTTACCTTTCCCTCATGTGTTAAATAGTCCGCGTTTCCCCTTGTCCTGTGCCAGTGTGTTCCGTCTTATGACTTTACTGAGCTTTACCTTGTCATCGAACCTAGCCTTGCCTCGCCTCTTGTATTTCCTCGTAAGAGCGTTTTTGTTTTTGATTCGCCTTGTTCATTTGTTTAACTCAAGTGGGTGTTATTTTGTGACTTTGTTTCAAAGCCTTTTTCCTTCCTCGTTTATGAGTGATTTTGATTTGATACTTTTTGAAACCTCCTTGTTGAGCAATATTGTTTGTACTTTCTTCCCACTCCTACTGAGTGCGCCCTGAGTTTAACAAAACCTTTTTGTACTTGATCTCCGCATCTGAGTCCTTTCTGAGCTCCAGCCTTGTCATAGTAAAAAGTGAGAATGAGTGAGGAAGTGAAGCTTTGCTTGAACTGAGTCAGTTTGACCTCTGAAGTTGTTTATCAGATGTCTTGCACTTATACGTTTCTGGTCCTTTGGCAGTCATGTTGGTCTTTCCTATGTTGTATATGTCTGTAAGGGAACAATTTAATAGGCGGACCTCATTTGGGCCAGATTGGACCCTAAAGAAAACGTCAAAAACAGGAGATCTAGGAAGGCAAATATAATGACTTTGTCCGAAAGAAAAAGAAAGCTCTCTTATTAGTTTGACTTATAAAACTCAGATCAGAATCATCAGAAGACAGTAGAAGAGAAGGGACAAATTCCTGATGTAGTATACATGTAATATTGTTTTGATTAAACATTATGGCATCTCATGAATCCTGTCCATCATCTATTCTTTTCTCCCTCTCTTTTTGCCTCATTCTTGGGTTTTATTATCAAAGTCAGGCAGTAATTCTATAACATTTTGTCGGTTTGCTCCCACAGACCTTATGAATTAGGCTCATGTGTCAGAGTAGGTATGGAATAAAAACACACACACACACATACACACATACACACATGGAATGACTTTGGAAGAAAGAAAAAAGGAAATAAACAAAAAGGTGGTGATGGAAGTCAACCAAGGGGGAAAAAAAGAGACAGGAATGCCAGAGTGGGAAATGATTAGGCGTGATCAGTGACTTCATACTGATACAACACAGACATAATTTATCGTTGTTAACAGCATATTTAAAGTATCTGCAATTGAGGGTTGTGGAAAGACAGCAAAGAAACATGACAAATTTGTCATGACCAGTCTCCATAAAGACGGCTGGGCTTACCAGTCACAAAAATATACAGACATAAATCAACATTCATCAACATGCAGATACACACAACTGGATATGCACACAACCCAGACTTCTTTACTCCTTTCTGCTCTCTTGGCATATTTCCTTCAGCTGTTCTTGAGGTTGACAGAAGACAGTGGAGCTGTCAACAAGCCTGGAGCCTGTAGAGAAGCAGGCTGCGCTACCACACTACACACAGTTAAACACACAAGCACTGACATAAACACAGATCCATGAAGGCATGCAGAGTTGAAACATCTCAAGTAGCATTGTTACTGTGACAGAATGCACAAAAACACAGACACAGTAGGTCAGGTGGAACATATTAAACTCTGCTTGTATTACTGAACTGTAACACCCAATCACACACACGCATTTACATGTATACAGAGAATAGATATCCATTTAACAGCATGACCTTCATGACGAGCGGCCGAAATGAGTTTCCTCCGCAGGGTGGCTGGGCTCTCCCTTAGAGATAGGGTGAGAAGCTCGGCCATCCGGGAGGGGCTCGGAGTAGAGCCGCTGCTCCTCCACGTGGAGAGGAGCCAGTTGAGGTGGCTCGGGCATCTGTTCAGGATGCCTCCTGGTCGCCTCCCTGGGGAGGTGTTCCGGGCTCGTCCCACCGGGAGAAGGCCCAGAGGAAGACCCAGGACCCGCTGGAGGGACTATGTGTCCCGGCTGGCCTGGGAACGC